AAAAAAAAGAAAGAATATAAGCCAACAGATTTCAGATTGCAATCCTATCTCAGTTTCATGGCAAGAAGCTGCAGTTAGCTCTTCTTACAATAGAAGATGCAAACCACACACACAAACATACATTGATTTATTACACAGAGAAAGAAAGAAAGAAAGAGATAACCTTCTAGTCAGGTTTGGTTTGTTATTTGTTATTACCATTACACCAGCAAGACAGAGTGGAGAAGTCGAGTCCTTGAAGTGTGAAGAAGCATATTGAAACAGAAGTAATGCACTTGAACAAGAAGATAGCATAAATGAACATAACCATACCTGCATTTCCAGGCTCAGGGGAAAGGAGTGACGTTGGCTCTTAAGACTTCAACTTTCTTTGCAATCTGGCAGCATTCACTGCACTAGCAAACAAGTGGATGATCCAATTTTTAAGAAAGAACTCCCAGAAAGCCAAAGGCCATTACAAGTTCCACACCATGTTAAACCCTCTCCAGAATTAATCTAGGTCATCATGATTTTCTTTGCCACCACCGTCTATGTGTCTTTGATCCCCCTGACATCTTGGTTTTGGAGGGCACTTACGTAGAGCAGAATTACCATCAAATGCAGAAGCATAAAAGATCTATAAAGATAAAAAGGGAAACGAGTTACTGTTAGAGCATTGTTGTATTGCCTTGCCTGCTCTCTCTTAAGAATAGAAGTTAGACAGAAATAAATGAATCGACATTCTCTTTTTTCATGAATGAATTACGTTGTTAGGTTAAAGCAAACATCAATTTAGTGTTAGAAGACTAATGCAGCCATTTATAGAATTTTGTTTGCAGGAAGCATTGATTTTATGCAAAGTACCCATAAAAAATGCTCTAAGAAAACACTTTGGTTATAAACAGCAACCCCTTAAATTAAAAACCTAAAGGAAAAAATATATATGGAATTGCACAAACGAAATCAAAACCCAATTTATACTTATAGTACTGTAACTTGCACTTGTTAATGGCACAACTGCTACACCTAGCATCAAAAATGGTTGCTCTGTGCAAAAGAAATGGAAGACAAAAAAAAGCATGGCAGCTACTGGATTATCCACTTTAGTAATTAGATTTTTCTCTAAAGATTAAAGGAACAAGCTAATCATTCATTATTATTTTCTAATAACACAATTCACTTGAAGTGATTTGCTTGCATTGCTGTTTCCATTGAAATGTTAAATTCGAAATAAACAGAAGCAGCACATACCCACTACACAGACAAAACAAGAGCTTACCTTTGATGCGAACCCAGCAGCCATTTTAACTCAAAAACCTGAAGATGAGTTGAAAAGCCATGAGTTTATTGAAATTATTCACAGAAAACAGAACCGACCATCTATTTAGTTTAGTGATATGCGATTGAAATTTTTGGGATGAAGAAACAGGGGAATTGACAACTAGAAAGTACCTGCTTCATTAACAACGCGAATCTCCGGCCCTACATCTCTTGACCATTCCCGGCAATTTCGTGAAGAAATACGAAAAGGCTCATTTGGGCAGAGGAACAAAGGAAGTGGGTAAGGGTTGCCTCGATGGCACTAATCCTACCCTTCATCTGTTGACCATTTGATTAATTAAAGATAATATTTTAAAATTACCTGCTTCATTGACGACGCGAATCTCCGGCCCTACATCTCTTGACCATTCCCGGAAATTTTGTGAAGAAATACGAAAAGGTTCATTTGGGCAGAGGAACGGAGGAACTGGGTGAGGGTTGCCTGAATGTTTTTAACCCTACGCTACATCTCTTGACCATTTGATTAATTAGAGATAATATTTTAAATTTAACATAAAAACTATAAAGTAGGGTTTACACACACTGACTTTTGGAGTTTCTATTTCTCTCCAGGTTGCAGACTTTGTTAAATTACAGAATACAAATCCATATTGCATATCAGTTTCAAGCAAATTATTACAAAATAGAAGATAGAAAAAAATGCTCAAACCATTTAATTTAAACGGACCTTTCAACCAGACACACTTATAAATAAAGGAAGAAACAATGCCCTGCTCAGCTTGGGCTTATTGATGCAGAAAGAGGAGAAGACACCACGGAAGTTCACTTTGCAACATGAAACATCTTGAACCTGAAAAACAACAAATAAGAGGTTATTTGCTCTATTATTCTTTTTCTTTTTATAATCAAGTTGTGAAGATGCCATACAAGATTAGAATAAATGTTTATAGACAATTACCGGCTTCTAGGAAGGGACTGATGGCTCGAACAACTTCAACTTTCTTCCCAATCTGGATACATGTTCTCTCACCAACAAACCAACTGCTACTGCAAGTAAATAAAGGCAGTCCTTCAAGTTGCTGAGGCGGACCCTCATTTTGTTGAACAACAGGAAACAGACATGTTTCCATGGATGATCTAACTTCATAGCCAAAACTCCCACAAAGCCGATGGCCGCTCCAAGTTCCATACCCGGTTTAAACCATTTCCAGAATTCAGCTATGTCTCTGCTTTTTGGTTTGCTCTCTGATTTTTCATCCATGGGGCAAGTTGATGTTAGAGGAAGCCCACAAAGTGCAGGATTACCGACAAATGAAGAAGCATTAAATGTCTGTATTTGGGTTCCCAATGGGATTCTCCCAGAAAAGTTGTTATATGACAGGTTCAAGACGCCGAGGAAATATAATTGGGACAAGCTCCAAGGAAGCTGACCTGAAAGCTGGTTCCATGACAAGTCAAGTGATTCTAACTGTCTCATCTGCCCAATGTTTGAAGGAATCCATCCCGCCAACTGATTTCTTGATAAGTTCAATTGAACCAGTTCCAAGAGAGCCGATATCTGGACTGGAATCTTTCCTGTTAATTTGTTGCTTGAAAGATCAATAATCTTCAAAGTCTCAAGATTTCCATTCTCATAATCACGCTCCATTCCTTTCCACATTACAGAAGCTTTGTCAGCATAGCTTCCTATGTAATCAAAACAACCATCAATAATTGATTCTGTAAAGCTATGATCATGGGCTGAACTCTCCTTTTGAACTAATGCAGTCAGATTTTGGATGCACGATGGTATGTTTCCAGATAGATTGTTGTTGGAGAGGTCTAGCAACGTAATATTTGTCAACCAGCATAGCTGCAAGGGGATGTCTCCACTGAAATTGTTGGATCTCAGAAGAAGGAAACTTAGTGAACTTAGCCTTTCTCCAATCCAAGTTGGTATTTTTCCAGAGAAGCTATTATAATTCAAGTCCAAATATTGCAAGGCACTACAATTTCCTAGAGACCAAGGTATTTCTCCAGAGAAACTATTGTATTGCAAACCCAAGGATTCATGACGATGGAAAGATCCAATAGAGCTTGGAATTTTCCCAAATAAATGATTGTTTTCCAAATTCAGAACCTCTAGAGTTGTCCATTGCATCATGCAATCAGGAAGCTTTCCAGATAGTTGATTATGCGAAGCATCAAGGAACCTAAGTTTCCCACCAGTTATGGTGCAGAGAGAAGAAATTGACCCAGAGAACCTATTTTCTGATAGGTTTATGGATGTGACATTAACAGAGAATACTGGTAATAGACCCTCCAACTTATTTTTACTCAAATCTATCCCAGGGCCAAGAGAATCAGCAAATTTTGTAGTTGACAAATCTGGCAAACTTCCATAGATATGGTTGGAAGAAAGATTCACATGCATTACTCTAGAAGATAGGTTCCAAAACCACTCTGGGATGCTATCTGAAATCCCACTTCCGGGGATATTAAGAAAAGAAAATTTTCTCTGGGACTTTAACCAGCTTGGAAATTTAGGGCCCAACTTGCACGACGTTAGAGTTATAACATCCAATTGGAAAGGAGGAATCCAGTCACTGCTAAAGTTGATGCTCAAAGAGTTAGAAGACATCCACAACCCCCGTAACTTTGATAGTGTAGAAAAGTGTGATTCACTGATCGTCCCATTCAAAGAATTGGAAGTAATATATAAGTGCTCAAGGTTTGACAGGAGTCCAATACTTTTGGGTATAGCACCGCTTAGTTGATTGTCATAAAGACCCAACAGTCGCAGTGAGTGGAATTTTTTTATCATATCAGGCAAGGGTCCCTTAATTTTGTTTTTACCCAATCTCAATTCTTCCAAGGAGAGCCGTAGACATCCAGATAAGTTACCAATGACTTCAGGAAGCATTCCGTTAAGATTGTTATAAGGCAGGTATAGGTACCTTAATTTGCACAAGTTCCCAAAGGATTTTGGAATCCCTCCTTCAAATTGGTTGTTGAAGAGACGTAGGGTTTCCAGATAAGTCATGTGACCTAGATATTCTGGAATTAGACCTTGAAACTGATTAGAAGACAAGTCAAGATAAACAAGGCTCTTGCTGAATTTGAACAACCAGTGGAATGTGGAGGCAGTCAAATTGTT